CTATCCAAAGTCAACATTCCCAAAGTCTTAGTACATACATGGAGCTCTCTCAACATACTTTATGCCAACACATTGGAAAAAATTGGAATTCCACTCAGTTTCTTGCAACCATACCCATATATGATCATGGGGCTTGATGGTATACTTTATGGAGCAAAAGGAGTAATTAAACTCCCTATTGAGTTTGGGGAATCCCCTCGCCGAACTGGGTTAAATGCTGAATTTGTGGTTCTACACTCGAGGTCCCCCTACGATGCTATCATGGGGCAACCACTACTATTTGATCTCAGATCAAAAGTATCAATATACCACTATTCTTATCAAATTTCCCACCCCTCATGGTACGGGAGAGGTCAAAGGAGACAAAGACATTGCTAAAAAATATCAAATGGTTGTCAATTCAAAAGGAGAAAGGGTTTATTACCCTCCGGAGATCTGTATGGCATGCACAAAAGAGCCTTCAACAAGCTCATTGGACCCACGGATAAAAGTGCGAGGAGGAGAACCTGTGGAAGAACTGGACATCATTGAGGTCGGTACTAACGATATCTCAAAAGAACTTAAGATCGGTCATGAACTGCGACTTCTACTAAGAGACCAGATCATCAGTTTCCTTCAAGGAAACCTTGACGTCTTCGCTTGGGAACACTCCGATATGAAGGGAATTAACCCAAAAATCATGTGCCATAAATTAGGAGTTAACCCTTTGATTCGACTAAAACAACAACGGCACCGGCCCTTGAATCCAGAACGGTATGAGGCCCTAAGTAATGAAGGACAAAAACTGCTTCAAAATAGGTTTATTCGAGAAACAAGGTATCCGAAATGGATCGCCAATCCTATCTTAGTCAAGAAAAACAATGGAGTCTGGAGGGTGTGTATTGACTTCACCGACCTGAACAAAGCATACCCTAAAGACAGTTTTCCGCAACCAAGGATAGATCAGATGGTGGATGCCGCTGCTGGCCATGACTTACTCAGTTTCATGGATATATATTCAGGCTACAATCAGATACCAATGTATGAACCTGATCAAGAACACACAGCCTTCATCACCGTCCGAGGTCTTTACTGCTATAAGGTGATGTTATTTGGCCTCAAGAACGCTGGGGAAACATACCAACGCTTGGTTAATACTATGTTTGCCAAACAAATTGGTAAGACTATGGAAGTATATGTGGATGACATGTTGGTGAAGAGCACGGACGCCAGAAACCATCCACAACACCTTGCTGAAAAGTTTGAAATTTTGAGGACATACGGGATGAAGTTGAATCCCCAGAAATGTTCCTTTAGCGTGAGCTCGAAATTTTTTTTATAATATATGGTAAACCAAAGAGGGATCGAAGCTGACCCAGAAAAGATAAGGGCCATTGTTGAAATGCGTTCCGCAACTATGCCTAAGGAAGTTCAAAACTTAACTAGGCGAGTAGCTGCACTTAGCCACTTCATGTCGAAATCAACAAACAAATGCATACCCTTCTTTGACGTATTAAGAAAGGGAAAGAAATTCAAATGGACACCTGAGTGCCAGTTTGCATTCAACCAGCTCAAGTCCCACCTAGTGCAACCACCGGTGCTATCAAAGCCGAAAATAAAAGAAGTATTGCTGCTCTACCTGGCAATGTCTAAACATACTGTTAGTGCAGTACTAACTAGGGAGGAGATGTGAGTACAACACTCTGTCTATTACGTTAGCAAAGCTTTACATGAAGCTAAACTCCGCTATTCCCCGTTAGAAAAATTGGCTTATGCGGTTATCACTGCAGCTTGGAAATTAAGGCCCTATTTCTTGGAACTTCCAATCGAGGTCTTAACCAATTATCCACTAAGGCAAGTGCTGTAGAAACTTGATACCTCAGGATGGATGGTGAAGTGGTCAATCGAGCTCGATCAATTCGACATAAGATATATGGCCACGCACCTCCATAAAGGCCCATGCCCGGCTGACTTTATTGCCTAATTCAGCTCGGACCCCAAAGAAGAATTGCATCCTTGTATGCCTTGGAAACTCTTTGTGGATGGATCCTCCACAGGTGAACGAGCTGGAGCTAGGATTGTGTTGATCAGTCTAGACCAATAAGTATTTTGCGAAGCGCTATCCTTTGATTTTAACGCATCCAACAATGAGGCCGAATATGAAGCCCTCATTGCTGGTCTACGGATGGCCAAAGAAACGAAAATTGATCACCTAATTGCGTACAGTAACTCCCACCTGGTAGTAAATCAGGTCAACGATGTTTACCAAGCAAAAGAAGAGAGAATGAAAGATTACCTTCAGCTCATCAAAAAGAAACTAAAGAATTTTGAGAACGTCCAGATCGAACGAGTCCCACAAACTCAAAACGGACATGCTGATGCTCTAGCTCGGTGGCAACCAACGAAAGGATTGAGAGGTTCGATATTATCCTAATATGAAGGATTTGTTGCTCCGCTATTAAAGAAT